TAAAAAAAAAGAAAAAGAAAAAGACTATAGTTTTTAGTCTACATCACATTCAATCATCTGTAATATTTCCCCACCAGTTTCTCCCTGACTTCTTTCTCCAACGCCTGCTCTCCCTGTAGAAGCTGAAAGTAGCCTTGGCTAGAGATCACTTTCTAAATGTGTGACTCAAGAGGCACATTCTGCCTCATGTATATTAAGGTTATGTTTAAAAATCCATTTTTGACATTATATTGAACCATATGAGCAATCTATTGTTACTGAACTCAACCAAATCTCTGAAATCAAAACAACATCAATTGCCAAAATAACATTTTGAAAACCACTTACAGATCATTGAAAACTCTGTATCAGGGGTTGGCAAACCACAGTCATTGGGCCAGATACAGCCAGCCCCCTGTGTATGTATGGCCTGTGAGGTAAGAGTGGTTTTTAACCTTTTTAAATGGTTGAAATAAAATCAAAAGAATAATATTTTGGGATAGCTAAAATTCACATCAAATTCAAATGTCAGTGTGCATAAAACATTCTATCAAAACACAAGTCACACATGTAAACACTCTGTCTATGACTGCTTTCACACTACAACAGCACATCTGAGTGGTTGTGACAGAGATGGCATGACCCACAAAGCCAAGAATATTTATTATCTGACCTTTAAAGTTTGCTGACTCCTCATCCACATCCTTTTCTAGGAACTATGTTCAGGAGACAGAAAGACAAATAGATATGAAAGGCAACACACAATGTCAACAATGTGACTTTGACGCCCTCCAAAAGACACATTTAAATAAGTACTCAAGTAAGAACATGGCGATAACTACCTGTTAATCAACTTCACTAAAAAGCTACAACAATGTGCGCTTGGACTTGAAATAAGATGAGCTGTGTGACACCTGTTTCACCATGAGGACTATGTCATAAACCCCAAACACATTTGGGAAAGGTAGAACCAAAATCATGGTTCCCACAAGTACCTGTCTTCTTTTGAGAACTTCTGGTAAGGCACAGGCTTGAGGGACAGACAGGAACGGAGAGAATCCTCCTCAGACCCAAAGCCCGTGTAAGGTGGAAATTTCCTTTCTATTTTTGGAGGAGGACGAGGCTTGTATGAAATGGAGGTAAAGTTCTCTATAACAAAACAAAGGCAAACAAAACATCAATATTTTCTTTCACCCTGATTATGGCTGTTTTGAAAGGTCTGTTATGATTTCAAGATGAACATGGAGATCTTTGTAGACTATTTTAAACTCTTTCAAACAAAACACAGCAAAATCCTATGAGAAAGTAGGTTTCAAAACCACAAAACTCAATAATGGTCGTGGCTGCAAAAGAAAAAAAATCTGTTATCAAATAAGTGACCATTTATCTTTTGTCATCACATCCCCATTTCTGAATATTTTTGTTGCTCCCCTGATTTTTCCAATGATATGAAAATTCAAACTTCAAACTTTATGCCACCTATTCCATATTTTAACCTGTAATTTAGCCCACTCCTAGCTTCACTCAACACTCACTAATAAAATTCTTTTCCAAACAGGAATAACTCCTGACTATTTTACATTTCCCCTTCCTCATCCACCAGCTCCTGCTGGACCCACTTTTGCAGCTCCTTCCTTTGCCTCCAAATCAACTAGGACAGGATACTTCACTATCTATTTCAAAAACAAACAAAAAGAAATTTTTCTGCTTCTCACCAACTACCACTCCAGGTCACTCCTGTTACACCCATGGAAAGACTGCAAATGGATTCAAATGTAATGAAGCAAAGCAAACTAACAAACAAATAAACAAAAAATGAAAACTTGGGCCAGGGATTTAGCTCAGTGGTTCCGTCACCTGCCTCGCAAGTGCAAGGTCCAGAGTTCAATCCCCAGTACAAAGAAAAAAAAAACTTGTAAAATACCCAATTGTCTACTTTTTTGAGGGGAATGCTCATTTGTAAATACTACTGATTTTACTTATTTACCGTGTGTGAGGTAGGAGAGGTGGAGAGAGACCTAGAACATAACTGCCATAGCCTAGAAGCTCTTGCGTACTCATATGCAAGGCTCTGCAATCCGAGAAGTAACTGTTTGCTTTCCAGAAAAACCAACATATAGAACTGACCTACCCAAATCACTGTGTTTACCCACCATAAATAGCAAAGAAGCCAGCAGAATCTTCCCTAAAACCAAACCAAACCACATAATCCACTTTTCACTTCTTCCCCAAGCTTGGGTATGTCATAGGTGTTTCAGTTGTGAAAGGAGTCCTGGACAAGCAAAGATTTCCTTTTCCATTTTCAAAGCTCTAACAGAAGAAGAGTACAAATTTGAGCACAAATTTTAGTGCACACATTGATAACAGAAAATGGATATCAATTTGTAATCCAGGACAAGCGAACCCTAAAAAAAGGGAATAAGTAAGGTGGATTTTTTTTTAAAAACTGATTTATCAAAAGGCTGAGTTTGGAGCCATCTCTAACACTGACTGAAAACATTTGCAGCTTTCACCTTTTCTCAGACTTCCTAGCAGGCTTTGTGTGAAATTTCCCCAAACACAATCCCCAAGAGTATTATTCCATCCTAACAGAATGTGCTCACAGCAGACATGTTGACAAAGAGAACACACCATCAAATATTCTGCACTGGCTCAGTGAGAAGCGGTAGCAAATATGCCCGTACAGACTTGTGAGCCTCTCCTCTGCTATTTTTGCGGTGATTAAAGAGAAGACTTCAGAGGAAAGTTCAAATCTTGGGATTAGATAGAACTGCAGCAGACTCTATTGTTGCTTACCATTACACTATCTGGTACCTTCATTTCAGGACAAGAACCATGTCGGAAGAGGGCTCTATGTGATTATTAGAAACTTGGGCATGTTTGCCACAATGGGGGACACATACTCTACATATTAAGCTGAGCAGTCTAAACCAAAAGAGTAAGCATACTGAATTGCAATGTAATTAATATATTCTATACATCCCCCAAACCCACATCATAGGCTTCATAATGAAGTGTTGTTTGCTCAACTACCTAATTTTTGCATTAGATTTAAGTAACAAAAGAACCAATTTAGTTTTCCTCTGCACCCACAGTGCCATCTAGTGTATAAAATCTTAGAACTGTTGCACTCCATCACCCCTGACTTTTGTACACCACATACATCACTGGAAACCTGGCCAAAGATCCAACTTTAAATCACATTGCTCTGGGTAATTCGTATACATATACCACGCCATGGGCCCACATCTGAATGACAAGTTGACTGTCTTTGGCTTTTCATCATCCCAGCACCTGCTGGGATGTACTGTTTTATGTACTCAAAAATATTTGTTGAATAAATGAAATTATACATTTTTGTACAAGGCATCTTCCAAACGTCTTCTGTAACTCGTGCTCTGCTACCTCCTGAGACATACCCATCCTTCAAATGTTCTGATTACTCTAGTTCCAAATAACTTATAAACATACAGGGATTGAACACCTATCGATGACTAGATTCCAACAAATTGCAGAGTTGATATTATTAAAAAAAAAAAAAAAAAAAGGAGTCTTCATGTTCCTTCATGGTAATTTTCTATTCAGCATCTCAATTGGAAGCACTACTGGGAAAAGTCTTCAATTATCTCAAAGTTCATTTCTTATGTTCTAGTAATCCAGAGATGGATCCAGGGTTTGGGAAGCCTATATCTTATTTAATTTGAAAGAAGATTTTTAAAAGAAAGAATGCCAAACTATTAAGACAAAATTAAGCCAAGGCTTTGGGCTAGGGTTCTTGCAAAGGAAGAACTCTAAAGATTGTAATTAATTAGTTTCAAGGTAAATCTGCCTCTGCTAGAACTAATACGTAGTTCAAATAATTTCAGTTAAAAATTTACTGGGGGGTAAAATAGTGAATCACACAATGCTAGACCTCTGAAGTCCTTGGGAATCATCTGATCATCAACCATCTTTAGTATATAGGGAAGGTTGAAGAAGCAAAATTGTTAGGTCCATCAGTGCCATGATGCAACTTAGGGAGATACTGTCTTGAAATAAAAGTATACAAAAAAGAAGGGCTGGGGATGTAGTTCAGTGGTACAGTGCTTGCCTAACATGTGTGGGGCCCTGGGATCAATCTCTAGTACCAACAACAACAGGAAAAGAAAATAATACAAAGTAAGAAAAATAATTACCCAAACTAAGCACTTTCAAATCCCTGACTTTAGTAGAAAAAAACCTGATGAAGCTCTGGAGCCTTTTCCAACCTTCACCCTGCAAATAGATGTTATAGGCCTCCACCTGCCAGTCTATGCTCAATCACAACAGATACTGAGGGAGTAACCTGCTAGGGCCCATCATGATAACCTAATGGAACAGTCATACCAGGCTGTGATGTACAAGAAATCTAAGGAATCAAATTGCCCTTATAATTTTTAAAATGGATGTGGTGATACATATCTAGAATCTCAGCACTCGGGAGGTTGAGACAGGGGAATGGAAGTGAATTTAAGACCCTGTCTCAAAATAACAAAAAAAAATTTTAAATACATAAAGGGTTCTTTTCTTTTCCTTGTATGGAAAGGTAAGGTTTGAGACAAGCTCTTACTATGTAGCTCAAGCTGCCCTCAAATTCACAATCCTCCTGCCTCAGCCTCCCAAGTGCTAGAAAAACAGGCGTGTGCTATCACACCCAGCTGAAAGAATCTCATCTTTCTGAGAGCCAGATTGGGTTCTACACAGGGACTCTAATGTCTTAGAATTCTTTTAAATGCTTTGCTTCTACATGAACAGAAAGGCTAGCCATGCACTTTTCTTGGGACTGTGGGCAACTCTTCTTTGTCTGCCATTTTTTTCTTTCCTCAAAATAACCTGGAATGCCATTAGGATCTAAAGCATCAAGGCTGAATAATGCAATAGCAATCTACCCCGGGGCTACCTGCTACAGAGGTCACTGACTGTATTGCTGGCACTTGTCAGCTCCTTCCTGCCTGCTGCACAGTGACAACACATAAGTATTCTACTGACCACAATGACTGACTGACAAGGGAAAATGTGACTGTCACAGAGACCACAATTACTCATGGGCCTGGTCTGGGCTTCAAGGATACCAAAACAAAATATGTAAAATTTATACTGTCTGACAAAGACCACATTAATTATTTTTAAAATGCAAGCCCCCAACAACACCAAAATAATACCGAATTGTCTTCATTCAAAATGATTTTTAAATGCTTATGTCAACTGTTATGCTATATGACTGAATATTTTTCATCCTTATTGTTTTAGCAACATGTCCTAGAAACAGTGAAGAAAAACAAAGATCATTGATTCAAAAATTTTAAATGCCAGAAATAATTATCATTACTTACATTAAGTATATTAATTTAACCTTATCAAAAAATCAGGAAAAAAGAAACGGGAAAAGCAAATGTAAAGATTACCCGAGAGTATTTCTCACTTCCCTTCACTCCAGCATAGATATAATTTCTAGTCATTACTTATATTAAGTACAATGTTGTAACTCAAGATATATTGTATAATAATAGTGTCTTCTTAAACAGGATATTTCAACATATGTTATGAAAAATATAAAAACTCACTGTGACTATGAAATGCAGCATAATTTTGCCTTTGCATAATTTTCAGTTTAAATGCATAATGCTCATGTTATATTGGCTTTAAAGGCACAGACTAATTTTTTAAAAATATAATACAGTTAATCTATACAATGAACAAAAGAAGTGGAAAGAAAATTAAGCATCAGGACTCAACTTAGATGGACTCCAGGGCATTTCAAGCTGATGCATTTACCTAGGACAGCCAGATTTGGAGCTCACCAGGGGACTCACACTGCCTCAGAAAATTCCCTGTAGAAGTTGCTAAGACACGAACAATATATCAAGTCTCTCCAGTATGACATTCATCTTCTCAAATGCAAATTTCATTTTGTCAAAATCAAGCTGACAAACATCAACCAAATGCTAGACTCCATGTTGAAGCAATTATATGATGTTTGGGAAGATCCTTTACATATCCTTTACATATCCTTTATATATCCTTCAGCAGATCCTTTATATGAAGGTAAAGGTAATGTTTCACCGCATCCTTTATATAAAGGTAATCTTCAGATGCAAATTACACTTTTCAGTGACACATCATCAAATTTTCAATATGTATAGAAGACATATTGGTACGAAATAGACATCTACATCTATTATAGACCATATTTTTCTTCTTGATGACACAAGGGCCACTAGCAGCTTTTCCATAGCAGCCCACTACCGGCACATTACTGGCTGCTTTTTGCCTATATTATCAAAGTAAATATGCTCAATTGTTCACCAAAGAGGACCAATTTTAGAAAATAAGAGGCCACCAATTTGGCCCCTGTAGCGCCCACACACCTTGACTGATCTGGCAGACGCAGTGGAAATAATTCCCTGAATGAACCTACAAATAAAATGGAGAGTCCTTTTTGTTTTAGCCCTTTTGTGTGTTTTCTTACAACATAAAGATTCCCAGGAGGCCACAAATGCTATACAATGAGGACATCGAAACAGTGAAATAGCTTGGGGGGGGGGGGGGTCCACCCTGGGTGGCACATTTTTTTGATGGAATTATTGGCCAAACGAAAAATGATAATAATGTATGGTTCTTTTGAACTATATTTGATATGAAGCTAAGGTTTCCTATGTGTGTCTGAACACAACAGTGTCTCTAGCTGCATGACTGCTTCCACATGAATTATACTGAGTGTTGCACTGAAGGACCGCCCAGAGCAACATGAACTCTAGCCAAGCCACTGCACCAAAACACAGAAAGTGGGCCTCGTCTCTTTCTAGACACAAAAAACCTTGTCTTTGAAGAAACCGTGCTTGCTTCTGGCCTCTACCTCACCCTCAGGGAAGTGTACCCATATGAACACTCCAAGGTTCAGAGGGAAGTACTATCAATCCTCGGGATCTGTGAGTTCCCTTGCCCAAAGAGAACCAACCAAAGACTGAAATAGTCAGAGGGGAAAATAAAAAAGCTCTCTGTATTGAACATTACAGACTTTTTTGTCATTATTCCCTAAACAATACAGTATAAAATTATTCGCATAGCATTTACATTCTATTAAGGGATCATAAGTAGGCAGGCACAATGGCATGTGCTTATAATCACTGCTACTTGGGGTGGGGGGCAGCTGGGGCAACTTAGTGAAGATTTGTCTGAAAACTTAGAAAAAAAGAAAAGTGTACAGGAAGATGTATGTAAGGTTCTATACAAACACTCTGCCATTCCACGTCAGTGACTTGAGCAATGTCAGACTTTGGGAAAAGCAGCTAGAACCAATGCCCCTAGGATACCCACACCTCAGCCCCAAACGCCAACCATAGAGGGCAGCAGCACTCATCAACTCCTAGTAACCACAGGGACCCAGAGCCTGGGTAGAAGGCCTAGGAAGGGGGGTAGGGCTGACTGACAGATCCTCAGACTGAAAATAGAAATCTACCAAGTAACGGTTTGGATTTCAGGTTTCCTGTCACGCTCTCTGCCTGCATCTACACTCTCATATAATATGCTGTGGGTTCCAACTCCCCTTGCAGCCTAGAAATCTTTTATACAACTCTGTATCACCTAAGTCTACTGCAGTGACCTACATATAGCAAGTGCTTGATAAATCACTAGTTTTCATTCTGAACTGAACTAACTGGGCTGGAATGGAATTGATATCTATAAAGAGAAAAGTTGAAAACCTGACTGACCCTTACCAGGAAAGGTGGAACAAACTGGCACAAAGAAAAATCTCTAGAGAATTCCAGTACCAAGAAATAAGAGAAGAAAACAGATTTAGATTTTAATTTCAATTGCCCAACCAAAATATTTTGATTACCTCATATGACAGTGAGGCATAAGGGCTTCCACAAGATCAAATCTTGGCTTGCTCTTTGCTTGCTATATGTGCTTAAACAAATGAGCCATTTAAGTCTTGGGTTCTTTATCTCTTAAATAGGAATAATGAGCCTACCCACTGAAGATTGTTGTTAAGAATAGATAAGAACAAATGCCTCAAAGAAGGAACCTGGTCAACAAATGGTCGAAATTGTGAGTGTAACATGCGAAACTCCAGAGTAAAATTTCAATCAGGAAACAAAGTTTTAAAATATTTTTTACTTGGCATATGTATTACTTACCGATTCCATATTTAGTCTTATAATAAGACTTTGTAAATTCATCACAGTCACAGAGGACCACTTTCCTTCCCCACACATTGATGGTGGCTCCTAAAAACAGGTCACTATCCTTGTAAAATGCTTGGTCTATTTTTCCCAGCTAATAAAAACAAAAGAACACAGCATTGACACCATGGACCTTCCAAAGAACTAGGTACCATTTTCCAAAGGAAAACTTTTTCTCAAAAAAAAAAAAAAAACTTCAATTATATCACTTATAATTAAATTTTAAAAATAAAAACCTGTTAATATTCTAAAGTATTATTTTAGCACCATAGTGGTTGCAAACAGTGATGCAATACATATAATTCTACATGCACTTAAGCACGTTTATTATTGCTAAATGGCTGTACAAAACATACATATATTTAGGTAGTCATGGACTGCATTCAAAAATCACACAAGGGAAAAATACATCACCCAACCTACTGCTCAGGTTCCATGAAGTTACACTGGAAGCCTTAATCAAACATGATAGTCCTCACCTTGTATTTATCCAACATGTAACTATACATCTGCTTGTTGGACAAGCCACCAAACACATTGAGAACTGAACGATCTGTTATCTGGCCTGGCTGATGGAGTCCAGGTGGGCCATACTGAAAGACAAAATCAAAACGAGGTGTGGTAGACAATGAGATGGTGTGGTCAAGGGTCACATATGGGAAACATGCATTGTATGGTTCTTTATCATTCAGAGGAAAACATGCAGGCCTCATCCACCTGTCCCCATGCTGCCACATCCCCTGTGGGCTGGCCTACACTCCATGCATCCTTCTTGGTCTTAAGGAAGCCTTATCTTTCCCCCCCAACTCCTCGCATAATATAGGTAACCATATACTCAGTTCTTCACCAAGCCACCATTCTGTGCATTACCTGTTCCCAATCCAAACCTCACCAGTACCTGCCACGGAGTTCAACGACTTTCTGTGGTTCTTTAATGGTTTTCGCCAACAGTCATCTTTCCACCAAACTACAACCCCACCCAGCCACCTACTTACTCACCCACTCCTAAGAAAACCTGATTCCTTTTCTTTACTCCACTTAGCACCCTGTTCATTGAGTGGAGACTCCGCTGGCCAACCGAGGTGGTGTGGTGAGGCAGAAAAAGCAATAGATGGGTAAGCTTCTAACAGAAATGTGGCCCAGAGCATAACCGAGCCCTGCTTGGTCCTGAATGGAGTAGAGGTGGTTCTAAGCAATGCTACGAGCTGCAGGAAATACTTTATTTAACTGACATAAATTGATAATGATCAGAAGTATCACATATAGATGAGAAATCAGAATCTTTCCTGAACTGTGTAACATAAAATGGAAGTCTAAATGTGTGAAATTTATGATGCATAGCAGAATGGTACATTTAGACACAAACTCTCTTCATCATTTACTAGCTACAAGCCCCAGTGCCAAGTATGTGTCTTCTCAGAGCTTCAGTTTCTTCCTCTCTCTCATGAAGCTGCATCACTTACTCCTGCTTTCTCAAAGGACACTGAATCGCAAGGGAACACCCATCCCTTTTGTAACTCTCCCCCATGAAAACCTAACCTCCACGAAGCAGGACTGCATTTTCTTTCATGCTGTAAGGCCAGAGCTGGCACATGGTAGGCCCTCATTAAATATTTGGGGAGTGAATGAATAAAACAAAGTAACTGATGGCAAGGCACACTGTAAATGTCAGGTGTGGCATTATTATTTTATATTTAACCTATTTTTCAAAGCCATTTTAAAAACAAGCTGCCTTGGCCCCCACTAGCCACCTGCTGTGGTTATCACACCATTTCCTTAGGACAATCTTGCCTCTCCCTGTCTCCAAAAAAAATCACTTCATGTTTTTATGTGTGCTTACAGGTCTTAATGTGGGGCCTCAGATAGTGCTTTCTACTATATTATCTCATTCAGTCCTTACACTTACCTTAGGACTCTGTTAACTACATTTTATAGATGGGGGAAATAAGATCAGAGAAGTTAACTGACTTGCCCAAAGTCACACAGCTATTGGGAGGCAGATCTGCAATTCTAATCCAGTATCTGATTCTGGGCTATTTCTCCAACACCCAAGTTACATTAGCCCTCAAATGACCATAATTATTTGTAGAAATCAGTCTGACAAGTCTTTTGAATAGTAAATAAAATGCTAAAGCTGGCAAAGCACTCAGAAGAGACTTTCCTGTGCATATGCTTTTGTGTCTGTCAGTGTATGACCTGCAAACGACAGTGTGTGTGTGTGTGTGTGTGTGTTCACAACTTAGAGCAACATCATCGGCTCCTCAGTAAGCTGCAGGGGCTACACGCTAGTGTGGCATGCAAGGCCAAGAACAATTTTTTACTAAGGGTTCTCTTACTTTAATACGACTGTCACCCCAACAACAATGCTGGTACTTTCTTTTTTTTTTTTTTGGTAACAGGGATTCAACTTGGTACCTTGTGCTTGCAAGGCAAGCGGCAGCCCCACTGGGCTAAATCCCCAGCCCTGGCACTTTCTCTTACATGTGACTTTTTCCCTTACTTGCTTTAACTTCAGTATGTTCCAACTCTAACTTGTCAGATTCTCTGGATTACTTTCATAGATGTACGAGGTGTGATCAAAAAATACAGTGAGTTTTAAAAAAATTTATTACAGCAAAGCACACTTTGCAATTAGTCCCCTTCAAAATTGGAGCACTCTTGCTCCATCATTCTTGCAACTTTCTGATGTAATTCTGGAAGTCCTCTTACATATCTTTTTTTTGGTACTGGGGAGAACTCAGGACCTTGTGCTTGCGAGGCAGGTGGCAGAACCACTGAGCTAAATCCCCAGCCCCCCTCTTACATATCTTTAGTCACACTGTCATAGCTGCCTCCATGTCCTGAACTGATTCAAAATGCACCTTTCATGGTCATGTTGACTTTGGAGAAGAGACAGAAGTCACATGGTGTCGGATCCAGTGAATAAGGTGAATAAAAAGACACATCCTGCTGTCTGCCTCACAAGCGCACGGTCCTGAGTTCGATCCCCAATATCAAAGAAAAAAGGAGAGAGAGAGACATCGTGTTTTTCTGAGCCTGCTTTTCTGTTGGATGGCTCAGCAGCAGCATTCACCGTATTTCTGATCACATCTTGTAAAGATGCCCAGGAAAGAGAATTTCAGAACTGCTTTAGAAAGTGGCAAGAACCATGAGATAAGTGTATCAAAGAGAGGAGGAATGTTTCAAGGGGGAGTCACAGCAATACTTTTTTTTTTTTTTTTT